GAAAAAACACAATTTAGTTATTGCGCTTCTCACTTTTTTTGGCAAAATAGAACGTATACCTATTGGTAGAAAGTGTTCCATTATAACATGACAATCATGTGTGTTTAAACTCTTTAACTTGAGGTCTTTCATAGAAACAAGTCTTCTAATATCTGAAGAGTATTCTTCTGGAACTTTAACTTCACTTAGAAACTTACACAATATCTTTTTCTCCTTTCTAGATAAATTATAAGCAGCAGGTGGTAGATATGTTCGATTTCCTTTCTTCAAGGGTCCTAATTCATTTCTTATTCCCATCGCTACCAAGTCCTTTCTTGCTTTAAGGTCATCCTTAGACTTTCCTTGTATATTGAGTAACGTACCAATAACACTTTCAAATACATTTTTTTCAATATGCATAACATCAAGAAAATGTCTTACATACAACGACTTCCAATACGAAAAATCAAACAAAATTGATCTTTTCTTCCACCCACGCGTGACAAGCGTATGAGCAAAAGGCCTGCCAAACTTAGTAGTCACATCTTTCACGTTTTCAAAAAAAATTTCGCCCGTCACTGTAGGTGGAGCTCTACCTTGTTCTAAATTTCCATTGAATTCTTTTCTCCACCCACGATAGTTATGATTAGAATTTAAGAATCTACGATGACCAAGAAATACATTCTTCTGACCAAATTCCAATCGCGTCCAATCTGTGTTTTCCTACACAGATAGGACACGCACATTGACCTTTAATGTTATACCCCGATAGATTTCCGTATGCTGGAAAATCATTAATTGTGCCAAACAACATTGCCCTCAAATTGAAACTTTCTTTCCGATATCCATCATAAACCTCCACACCGTTCTCTCACAAACTCTTTAAGTCTTTGATTAAAGGTGTCAAGTATACGTCTATATCATTCCCTGGTTGTTTAGGGTCAGAAATTAACATAGATAACATCATGTACTTATGCTTCATACATTGCCATGGAGGTAGGTTATAAATTATAATAATTACAGGCCATTTGGAATGTGAGATACTTTTTAGACCATGCGGATTCATTCCATCAGTTGATAATGCCAAGCGAAGGTTTCTAGCTTCTTCTCCAAAATCAGGATACTCATTATCAATTTTCATCCACTGTGGTGAATCTGTCGGATGTCGATACTTCTCATCTATAATTCTATCATCTACATGCCAAGTTAAGTGTTTTGCATCTATTTCACCACGAAACGTGCGTCTAAATCTCGGAATTATAGGAAAATACCATGAGACTTTTGCTGGTGACAACTTTTTCTTATACCGAGATACACCACATTTAGGAAACTCGTTTAATGATGCATATTCATTTCGAAACAAAATGCAATCATTTGGACAAACATGTATCTTATCATAGCTCATGCCAATATAGCATAACATTTTTTTAACTTCATAGGTTCGATTGGGAAAAACATTATCCTCCGGAAGCATCTCTTTCATAAGGGCTAATAACTCTGTGAAACTTTTATTCGACCATCCATTACCCGCCTTTAAGTTGTACAATTTTAATACCGCAGACAATCTTGTGAAAGTAGTGCAACCTTTATACAACAGTTTCTCTGCATCGCTTACCAAGCTCTCAAACATATTGGGACAATCCTGAAGATCTTCTTCAAGTGCTTCTGCAATCTCTTCTACTCGATCACAATCATATGTATCCCTGCCATTGTCATTTGAAGCACATGTCGTATTATCCCCCGGTTCTACATTCTTGTTACTTATATCACCATGTAATGTCCAACATGTATAACTTCAATCAATTCTATGTCTCGTTAAATGAGATTCCAACTGAACTGCGTCAATCCGACGCCCATAACAGCAACCTAAGTCAGGACATGTGATCCTACTGGGGTCTTTGGCGTGTTCAACAGCAAACTTAACGAATTTTGATACCCCATTCTCGTACTCTTTGACAATCGATTAGAAGACATCAATTTTTTATCCATACTAATTAAGTAGGCTAAACTAAACTAAGAAAGCTAAACACAAATAGCGAATACCTGTAGCACCTGTAGAGAAATCACCAACTTCTAGAACTACACAGTAGGATTCTTGGAAACGATCACAATCCTGCTCTTCACAGGTAACCCCTATAACAGACAAAATTAATAACATCATCAACATTAAATAATTCTTGGAAACGATCAAAATTAACTGACATAAATAATTCATTTACTTTCATCAACAACATCAACATCATTAACACCAACACTAACAACATCAACAACAACATTATCGTTAATTAATTCAAGTTTCCATCAACAACAATAATATTAACATATATACGAAATTAATTCATTTGTTTTCATCAACAACATCAACATCATTAACATCAACACTAACAACAACAACATCTGTTTCCATCAACAATATCAACAACATCATTAGAATCAACACTAACAAAAACAACATTAACATTATTTTTTTCCATCAACATTATCATTTTAACATGAACAACAACACTAACAACAACAACATTAACATCAACACTAACAACAACAACATTAACATTATTTTTTTCCATCAACATTATCATTTTAACATAAACAACAACACTAACAACAACAACGACATTCCATTTTCACAACTAATACTTTACTAACCTCTAATTCAATTTAATTGTATCCTAACAACTAACTTTAATAGAATTTCTAACTTTGTTAACTCTCTAACAAATTTCTACATGGAATCCATTAACAGTCACAACTGCCCTAACTTGAAACACTATTTATTATTCATCAACAATCACATTCTAGAAGTCTCTCAATCTCTCTGATTTTCTCTCTCTGCAAGAAAAATGTATTGTACAAACTACACATTAGAAGAAGAAGAACAACAACAATGTTTCCATCAACATTGTCATTTTAACATCAACAACAACACTAACATGCAACAACATTACTAACATGCAACAACATTATTTGTTTCCATCAAAAATTTTTTAAAAAAAACTTGAAATACCTTAAAAATGGTGGAAATACGCTGACAATGGAGGTGGAGGACAAAGATGACGGTCAAAACGGACGGACGGAGGTGGAGGACGAAGATGACGGTCAAAACGGACGGGCGGCGACGGAAGGAGACGGTCGGGCGGAAGCAATGGACGAAAGTTGTCGTCTGTGACTAGGGTTCTATACGCGGCGAGAAAGAAAGCAAAACCGCGACTGTTCTGTTTTATAAAAAATTCTGGAAATTTTTAATTTTATGCTACTTAAATCTATAACAGCGCTTTTCCATGGCCTTTAGCAGCACTTTATAAAAGCGCTCTCTAAGATCTGCCTCAGGTAGGACCTATAGCAACACTTTTATAAAAGCGCTTTCTTTTGTATCCCCTATAGCAGCGTTTTTGTAAAAGCAGTTTCTTAGACTGACACCTTTAGCAGCACTTTTAGAAAGCGCTTTCGTAGGTTACCCCTTTAGTAGCGCTTTCTAAAAGCGCTTTCGTAGGTTACACCTATAGCAGCGCTTTCTAAAAGCGCTTTTGTAGGACCTACTTTTAGCAGCGCTTTTTGTAAAGCGCTTTCTATTGTTAACCATAGCTGCCACCTTTAGCAGCGCTTTTCTAAAAGCGTTGTCTAAAGTCTGTTATTTCTTTCCTTTTTTTTTCTGACTCTTTAGCAGCGCTTTTGCAAAAAGCGCTGTCTTTTCTGCGCTGCCAAAAATCATTTATGTAGTAGTGACTGGTTTATTGCATTTGTATAACTTATTTGTTTTGGACAAAGGGCCTCTTTGTTTCAGCTTTTAAAAAATAAATTTTTTTCTTTGCATTTTTAAAAATAGATTTTACAAAATCGTTTTTAAAAAATATTACTATTTTTTTATATTCATTTTTTCTAAATTAAAAGATTAATTTTGACATTTTATAACATAAACATACATTACTAAAGATTAAAAAATAGTTGAAATCACAATTTTTTAAAAAACTTGTATCTCAAAAATGATATTTATGAAAATCTATTTGAAATAGCTTTAAAATCAAGTGATTTTTTAAAATTTTGATATCCAAAAAAAGTTTTAATAAAATGATGAAATATCTAAAATAGTATTTCAAAAATAACTATTCAAATCATTTTCATTTGAACTTTTTATGAAAAATTTCTTTATAAATTTTTGGTTAAATACCATTTTTGATCCCTTAACTATACCCTTAGATTTAGATTGGTTCCTTAATTATTTTTTGTATCAAATTGGTCTCTTAACTATTTAAAACGTGTCATATTGATAATTTTTGTCTAATTAGCGACAAATTTTTGAATTTTTTTCGTCGCTAATTAGATGAAAATGACCAATATGACACATTTTAAAGAGTCAAGGGAGCAATCTGACACAAAAAATAATTAAGAGACCAATTTAAACGTAAGGATATAATTACGAGATAAAAAAAATATTTAGCCTAAAATTTATTACACAAAATTATGTTTCACAATAAAAAAACCATTTTTAAAAAAAAGGACAAAACAAACTTTGCAGAAGTTGAATAATGCTCAATAAGAGAACATATTATGCGGGTTTAATTATCCTGTAATCCTTAGCAAAACCGATTTTAGGATAGTGGTATGCTAATTTGTAATCTGCTTAAGAAGGCCTAGGTGTGATGATGTATAGACTGTGTATTGTTTTGGTCTAGATTTCAAGCAAATTATATGGTGAGTCCTTTGCAACCCTTCATAGAAAATGAGTAGTTGTTCTTCACTATGAGGCTGGACTAAGACTCTCCTTTAGTATCGAGTTGGAGTAGTCATTGTACTCCCTTTAATAAACTTTACTTATCAAAATTAAAAAGAAACTAAAAACTAACAGGTGTAAAGTTCCTTTAAAATGAAGTTTTGATATTTTTTGAAGAATATATTCCCATTATATAGCACTAGTGTATTACTAATTGCCTATAAAAGGGAAATCCAAGATCACAACAAATTCACCATTCAAACAACTATCATCAAAACTTGTGTGAATTGATACTTTCCCTTCCTCCAACAAAATGCAAAGCCGAAAGATCAATGGATACCCACAAGAACAATACTATGGTGATGATAGCTCGTGGATGGAAACTAAGGCTCAACAGCTACAGAGCCATGGATATCCACAGACACAGCAATATCCAGGCATAAAACCAGGTTATGGCAATGATTCTGATTACTCCATGCAAAACCATCATGGCCATGACTCTAACCATGATGTGTATCATCGTCAGGACAGCAAGCCTCATGGCCTTGACTCTAACCATGATGTGTATCATCGTCAGGACAGCAAGCCTCATGGCCTTGACTCTAACCATGATGTGTATCATCGTCAGGACAGCAAGCCTCACGGCCTTGGCTCTCACCATGATGTGTATCATCGTCAGGATAAGGTGCCTCATGGACAGGAAAATGGTTATGGTTATGATAACAATCATGGCCATGGCAATGGCAATGGCAATGGCCAGATATTCCCTTTTGGTGCTACCACTAATCACTCACCTCATCATGGTAATGGTGTAAGGCCATTCAATCATGGTGGCCGTGGCCAAAATGACTATGTGTCAGAGAATGAGTATGAAGTTTACAAGGAGGAGCAGGTCGGTTCTGGCGCGATGAGGAGGGATGAAATGAGATATGAGAGGCGTGGAACATATGGAGGAGATGTTCATCAGGCCAATCCATATGGATACAATAATAACAGGAACAATCCTCTTGGTCATGGAACAAACAAAGCCAATTGGACACTAAAAGGAGTTTAATATGCTTGGTTACTGTTATTAGTATTACTACCTCAGGACCCAGTACTAATAAATCGTGTGCTTTGTTTTCTGTTTTCTTGTTGTAATAAGTTGCCTTGGTTATGCATGGCTCTTTATATATATGATCAATGTTATATGTAACTCATTATGAAGTTATAATAAGATTTATGTGGACTTATATACTAGATGGTGTTTAATTATTTATTTGCTTCAAATCGAATTCTTTAGCTCAATTTCTATATAAATTAGTTGAAGATGTTCCACAACAAATGGAACAAATATATAACTTCCTTCTGGGTTGTTATGGTGCTTCAAGCATTCTGTATTTTTTTCTGCCTTTTATTTGCATCACTTTGGTGTAATAATGCTAGTGATACAATTATAAGTCTTCTGTTAAACAGTTATTCTTAGTTACAATCCAATTTTATAAGATTTAAATTAGGCTTAACACAATCATTTATCATTTACATTCACGCATCAAATTCAATAATCCTGAACGCAAGCGTGTATTAAAAAAAAACGTAAGTTTCACAAATTTTTACAAACGGGTTTTTGTAAGAACTAGTTCCATCAAATATAAAAACTTAATATGGTATAAGAATTAAGAATCAAGAATGAGTAGTTTGATTTCAAATCAACGGCTCAAATCAAACTAAAATCGTGTGAAAATGCTACAGCAGTAAATGATTAATGAGGATATTAGGTTTTTAGTATATTTAGTATAAGTTGACAACTTTTCTACCCATCATCAAAAGTTGAATATAGTACCCAAAATCAATCACATATTACCATTCTTGTCTCAAATAAGTTTATATGAATCCTTTATTCAAATAATTTGATTCCAAATGCTAAAGCGATTAAAGACAAAATATAACCCACAAATGAGCACAAGCTTTGTATTCTTTGAGATCAATCATTTTCATAGACCATCACCAAAAATGCTAAACGAATAAAATTGAATATAATGATGATAGTATTGGATTCGTTTTGAAGACCCTATCTTCGAATCTTTTCCTGATTAAATCATCTTAATGTTTATGGAGAAGTATCAGATTCACCACCATATCATTATCGAATATATAAGTTGAAAAACACATGCAACAAATATCCACCAAAGAAAAAAGATAATCAATAATCAATAATCACACAAGTAAGAATAAAAGTGAATAAATACAGATGAAGAGGCAGCAACCAGTAACACAACCTCAATCAACCACTAGCAAATGGAAAACCAAAACATTGTATACCGTGGATGGTGTCCTTCAAACTCTTACAACTACGAAGTCCATGAAGTAACCGAGCCTATGCTTCGCAAGCGCAACGAACGTCCCAGAAAGCATAAGAAGGGTCATGTTGCATTCAAAACCGTGCTAGAAGAGGATATAACACCTGTAGAAGAAGAAGCAGTTGTGGCAGAAACTGAGACTGTTGCTGAACGTGTGAATTCTTTTCAGAGTATTGATAGTAAAGCTGATGCGTTTATTAAGATGGAGCACAGGAGGCTTGAATTTGCCAGGCTCAGGTCTTTGGGGCTTGCCTGATTGATTGATATTTTCTATTTGTAGCTAGGTGTTAGCTACAACTACAAGGGTCTTCATCATGTCGAGGTTTATCGTTTATAAACATAAGAAAAATATGAAATAATTTCAACCTTATGTATTCCTATGAAATAACCTTATGAAATAATACATCATCTTCTTACTTTTGTAGTGTGTTTTGAATTATTTGTTATATTTTCTACTGGTTAACTTGCATCTTTCTTTTAGAGATTTAGGATAAGGTGTAAAATTATCATCTATCAAAAATTTATTACTGGATAATCTCATACCACTTATTTAAAAATATCAATGTAATTAGACGGAATACACAATAATCATTAAATGAAAAAATAAGTATGTTTTTTATTTTCTGTTTTTTAAATAAATAAAAATATTTTAATACTAATTTTTTTAAAGTATAATTATTATATGTAAATTTTGATTTCAAATTTTAAATGAAATAGTTAGAAAAAAGTTTTTCACTTAAAAGATGACTTTTCAAATTCGAAAATATGAATTAAGGTGGTTATATTTTCGAAATCAAATGTGATAAATTTAAAAAACATGAACTTGTCAAAAGTTTAAATATGCTACTTTTATTATGCAAAATACCATATATTTAAAAGTAATTTGAGTATTGGACCATCATGAATACTGTACTTTAGGTCCACGTGGTAGGTTCACATGGTATTAATGATCTCCGTCCATTGAGTTAGTGAGATATTGAATTGAATTCTAGTATAGTCGAAAGATAGTTTTTTGGTTTGACAATTCAATAGGATTTTAGCATGTCGTCGAAGTCTGTTCACATGATGTAGTCGAAATATGCTAGGAGTGTTAGCATGTCGAATTTGGCCTGTTTGTTATGTCCAATTGTTTAAGTTAGCTTGTTCTCTAAGTTAACCTGTATAATGGGCCTGTGAGTAACAGTCCATTAAATTAGTGTGTTAGTTTTCTTATTAATAGCATGCTAGTCTCTCATCTTTGAAATAAGACAAATTCTAATTAGGGCGAGAGAGGTCATTTGCTATTCTGTAACACTTGTAATCTTGTTTCAAAGAAAAAGTAAAGAATAACAGTTTATAACCAATTTCATTATGTTCTTCTTGCTACCCTCTTTTCTACCCTTGTGGGTTTCTTGCCGATAAAGAAACTCATTACACGTTATTATTCTGGCATCGTTTTTCACAATAAATTGGTGCGGTGAGCGTGGAAAATATGTCGCCAACAAAGTAAGAAATTTGAAAAGTTCATCGGAGTGAACGATTTCGGTCTGTGTCGCTTGAAGATGAAAGCCCTATTGTTTCAACATGGTTGTTAAGAAGCATTGAAGGGAACCACAACCATGGATGTTGTGTTAACGATCAAAGAAAAAATGACTATGATAGAGAAAGCTCACAGCACCATCTTATTAAGGCATAGTGATAAGGTTCTTCATCAGGTTCCGAAAGAGACGTTGGCGTCAAGATTATAGGTGAAACTTGAAAGTTTGTACATGACTAAATTGTTGGTCAATCGCCTCTACCTGAAGCAAGCTTTGTATTCATTGATGATGAGAGAAGATAAAATTTTGGATGAACAGTTGGGTATGTTCAACAAGTTGATTCTTGATCTTGAAATATCAATGTCAAGATCGAGGATGAAGATCAAGTGATATTGTTGTTGTGTACTTTGCCCAAATCAAATGCTCACTTCAAAGAAACTCTGTTGTATGGAAGAGAGTCTCTGACCTTTGAAGAAGTTCAATCGTCCTCCTTGTATCCTAAGGATTTGAACAAACGAAAAGAGCTCAAGCCATCTTTGACTGGTGAATGCGTGTCGGTTAAGGCGAAGTTCACAAAGAGAGATGGAAAATTTGACAAGAAGAAGGATAAACGTGAGCAGAAGTCTTGTAGTGGTGGTGCATCTGGTATTTGATGTTATCATTGTAACAAGAAGGACCATACAAGAAAAGTATGCCTTGGACGCATGAAAGATCATGGAGGTAAGGATAATGGAAACGCATCCATTGTTCAAGATGATTTCGACTCATTTGATATTCTTGTGGTTTCAAGCGGCGACTCAAGTAAATAGTAGATTATGGATTCAGGTTGAACTTGGCACATGACTCCAAACAAAGACTTGTTTGAGGAACTATGTGATCAAGATGGTGGATCTGTATTGCTTGGAACAATAAAGCTTGCAAGATTGTAGGTGTTGGATCTGTGAGATTCAAGCTCCATGATGAGTCAATAAGTTTGTTGACTGAAGTCAGGTATGTACCTGATTCTAAGAAAGTTTGATTTCTCTAGGTGAATTTGATAAGAAAGAATATGGTTTCCAAGGTGACAAACATATTCTAAAAGTCATGAAGGGGTCGAAGGAAGTCTTAAGATGCATGAAGAATCAAGGTTTTTATACCCTTGAGGCTGAAGTTGTCAGTGGTTCTGCAAAAGTTGCATCCATAAAACCTTCGTCGAAGACAGAAATTTCGCACATGAGATTGGGCCATGTCAATGAAAGCGATCTGGTCGAATTGGGTAAACAAAATCTAATTGGTGGAGATAAACTCGAAAATTCAAAGTTTTTTGAACCTTGTTTACTTGGAAAATCTTGCAGAGTGAAGTTCAATAAAGGCAAACAAAAAACATATGGATCCCTTGATTACATCCATATTTATCTTTGTGGGTCTAAAAGATGTCCATCACATTCAGAAGCAAGGTATTTTCTATCCATATTTGATGATTATTCTATAAAGTTATGGCTATTTATCCAGAAGACTAAGGATGAAACTTTTGAGAATTTCAAAAGTTGGAAGACTCTATTCTAAAATCAGACTGTCAGAAAGGTCAAGAGGTTAAGAACCAACAATGGTCTTGAATTTTGTAATGATGCATTCAATAGTTTTTTTGCAGCCTCTGGTATTGCAAGGGACAAAACTATTGCAGTACTCCTCAAAAAAATAGTTTGGCTAAAAGGTTTAATCAAACCATTTTAGAAAGAGTTAGATGCATGTTGACTGGTGTTGGGTTAAAAAAGTTATTTTGGGCAGAGGTTGTTTCGACAACAACATATTTGATAAACAGATGTCCTTCGAATGCGTTAGATATGAAGTCACCTGAAGAAGTTTGGTCATGACATCCACCATATCTCGACAAACTTAGAATATTTAGTTGTATATCATATGCTCACATTAGTCAAGAGAAGGTCGAACTTAGAGCTCTGAGATGCATGTTCATGGTATACCCTAAAGGAGTCAAAGCTTATAGGTTATGGTGCCTAGAGCCAAGTTAAAGGAGGTGTATCATCATTCGTGATGCAGTTTTCAATGAAGCTGAGATTACTTTTAAGAAAACTGATAAAGTTTGTCGAAATGCACAGATATTTGAAGAAGACCTGGAACAAAAAGAGATTCATGTTGAGGTTGAGCATGCTAATACTAAATTGTGTATCCTAGATCAAATCGAAGAAGAAGCACAAGAT